CATTTTCAATAATATTTAGAGAAATTCTGATCGAAAACTTTAAATACTTACTGAACTGTTTCACGTAAATCGACCATAAACAGCACCCCCACCATACAAAATGCATATAATATCGTAAAATGCTCTGACGTAATAAGAAAAGAATAAATTCACACCTACGAGCCTTTCATTTTTATTTCCTCCTCAATTCTGTGACACCGCAAGATTTCCGACCTTGTCGTAATACGGTGCCATAATTCAATTATTTACCACGTAACGACAGCGTTCGGAAGAAAATCGTGACGTTTCGCAAAAGCTAGGTTAGAGCGACGTTCGATGACACCGTAACGGGGGGCGCCGAAACATAGACGGACCCCTTAATTGGGGCACCGAAATCAGCGACAACCGAAGCACCACGCAATACACACAATAACGTCCGTTTTCGTTTCACTAAACACATCGAAGATTGAATTTTACTTAAAAACATTGCTCGTTAAAAAGTGTTAGAATAATGTGATCTATATGCGTTCGTAAAGCGTGCATTAGTACACCGAATTTGTCAACTAGTGGCGCTTCATTGGTTTGCCACTAAATTCGCGTTTATCGTGTCCTGTATTTTGTTGCACTGTTCAAGTGGAATGCTACATGCGGAAATGTTGCAATACGTGCTACGGTTCTAAACAAGTTTTTCTTTACTGTGTAAAATACTTCATACTTAAATAAATATTGTTTAAGTGGGAGTTATTATTAAAATCTTATCAAAAAGTGCTTGTTCTATGACAGATACTGGTTTGAAGAATGTAATACTCCTGTAACGGTTTTTAATTTATAGGTACTTTTCCTTAAATAAATATTGTGTTTGTGTGTGTATCATTATGGAATTATTGTGTGTGTCCTATCAAAAAGGAACTGCATAATAACACATACTGATTTTAAGAATATAATACTTCTGTAACGGTTTTTAATTTATAGTTATTTATCCTGAAGAAAATATTGTTTGTGTGTGTCATTATGGAATTATTGTGTGTGTCCTATCAAAAAGGAACTATATAATAACAGATACTGATTTTAAGAATATAATACTTCTGTAACGGTTTTTAATTTATAGTTATTTATCCTGAAGAAAATATTGTTTGTGTTTGTGTGTGTCATTATGGAATTATTGTGTGTGTTATTATAAAATTATTGCGTGTATCCTATCAAAAAGGAACTATATAATAACAGATACTGATTTTAAGAAAATGTGCTGTTCGATAAGTGTATGATTGTGTTAACCTGCTTAAAACATTTTTTGAGAAGGCAGCAATCGAGTCGGCTCCTCGTAAATATTCGGATAAATACCTTTACACGCCTTCTTCGTATTATATTCTTTTCTTCCGTTATTCACGGATCTCACACCTCACTTCGCCATCTCTCTTTGTTCCTGAGTGCGGATTTTCACTGCTGCGTTCGACTCGATGACTTGTTCGATATGTTGACGTCATTGTAAGGTTTTAACCCCTTTGCTTTGTACTGCTTACTTAGAATGACTGGTTATTTCGAAGTTTATAATACAACTCTGTTTATACTGTTTTGATTCGAAGGTTGGCGATTTTTGCAAAAATTTTAGATTCTTAAACTTTGGGTGTACGAATTTGGAAAATGCGAATTTGAGGATGTTGAGTGATTTTGAGAATTTGAAAATTTAAGGATTCATGATTTCAAGTTGGAGTTTTAGACATTTGGAAACTAGGGAATTTAGAATTTGGAAGTACGGGAAATTGTAGATTTAAGCTTTCAGAAATTTTGAAAGTAAATGAAATGTCCACCGACAATAACCAACTAAATATGTTTAGGTCAATACACGGGTCCGTTTAAACTATTTTTACTTCTACCCGTCGAATTGTATCTCTGTCCTTTTACCGGTGGATGTTATTTATTTTTTTACCGCGGACTTCTGACATCCGGAGAATCGACAAGCTCGAGGTTAAGGTGGGACGATAAGCCGGTGAAAAATGGAAAACCTGTTCCTCTTCCTGTGTTGGGATGAGACGGTGGTCATTACATGGTCGAGCGCACACGGAGATCTCGAATATAGGTACCTGCCACTGGCCGTGAGTATCACGAGAGGCTATTCAAAGGATATGAGAAAAACCTCGAGTCGACCGGAAGCTGGTATCCCGATAGGCCGTCTTCTGCCAGGGAAACGACAAGCGCGCTTACGCTACTTAACATGAAACTGCAAAATGTTTGCCAGCATCGAAGATGTTTTTTTGCGCCGTGGAAAGAAGCGGCTTTACACAGAACGTAGTCGCTTTTTCGTTCGTGAAAATATCGGGGAAAAGATACTATTCGAGGTAATTACAGTCTAATGGATTCTGGAACGGAAATCGTACGCGAAGGTGCGAAGAACACGCTTTTGACGCTCGATGGAAATCGCGTGCGTGGCTGCGCAGTGAAGTGCGCAGTTTATTTCCTGCTAGGCGCCATTTTGCGGTTTGCCTTTGGGGGAATTTTTTTATTTCTAGAGGGTTTTGTTTGGATGGAAAACTGAAAGTGTGGGGTTTGGGAATTTCGAATAGTGGAATTTGGGTATTTTGAAATTTGGAAATTTAGGAGATTGAAAATTTTGGGGTTTGGTTTCTGGGGAGATTTTCGTTTGGGCTGAGAAACTAGGAGTGTAGAGTTTGGGAATCTGGAATAGTGGAATTTGGGTATTTTGGAATTTGGAAATTTGGAGGTTGAAAATTTTGGGGTTAGCTTCTAGGGGAATTTTTTTATTTCTAGAGGGTTTTTGTTTGGGGTGAGAAACTGAGAGTGTGGGGTTTGGGAATTTGGGTATTTTGAAATTTGGAAATTTAGAAAGCTGAAAATTTCAAATTGGAAATTTGAAAATTTGGAGATTTGAGAAATGCATAATTCGGAATTTTTTAAATTTGAAAACGTGAAAATGTAATTTGGAAATTTGGATATTTGCAAATTTGGCAATTTGGAAATTTGGAAATTTGGAAATTTGGAAATTTAGAAATTTGGATATTTGCAAATTTGGCAATTTGGAAATTTGGAAATTTAGAAATTTGGATATTTGCAAATTTAGAAATTTGAATATTTGGAAATTTGAAATTTTGAAAATTCGAAAATTTGAAAATTTTGCAACTGTTAAATGTAGCAATTTAAATATATGCAAGCGTAAAAATTTGAAAAAATAGAAATTTGGTAATTTGAAAAGTGGAAAGAGTAAAATTTCAAAATTTTGATATTAAACAAAATTTGAACCGAAAATATGAACACCCCTATCTAAAAATTGAAAAAACAGTAAATCTCACAGTTCCAAACCAATAAACTTAAAAGACTTAAAAATGTTGGAAACGAGCCATTTTATCGGGAACGAAAGGAACAGTGTCCGGAAAGTAACAGGTACATTTATCGAGTCGGTTTCTTTTCATTCTGGCAAGATGAAAAAGAAAAAGAGATAAAGATCGCTAGGACGAGACGGAATTGTGAGCAAGGAAGGTGAACACGATTAAACATAAGTAGGATGCGGTTCGCTAGTTCTGAGACGTCCTGACACGCCTACGGAATCTCATGATCGATCCTGTTTTAGGATAAAGAGGATTATGAACACTGCTTCGTCCCTGACGCAGGTGTCCCTACCGAACTAGCGGCACCTTTGCTTTCATTCTTGTCCTCTCCGATATTTCTTTACCCTCTTTTGCATTTTCAACTTCCTCCTTTTCTTCGCTGCTTTTTTTATCAACATCTCGATTACATACTGCTACCTTGATACAAGGTATGGTTACCTGTGAATATGTTTTTGCGTCGAAAAACTGTCCGGGTAGCTTTTTCAAAAATGTTCATATTACAGGAGTAATTGAAGGATGATCGTATGGGACCGGTCTAAGCCTTTTTTATTGTATTGACCAGTTGCGGTGAAAATCTCAGTAAGTACAAGTGATTTCTAGTATAAATAGAATTTTAAAAAAGGAGGAGGACTATACATTTCAAATTTGATATTAATAATTAATAATTAGAAAAAAATAACAACGCAGTAATTTATGGATGAAAAATCGTCGTTCAATACCGATTAATTCGTAAGTTAGAAGATTTTTAAGTATTAGTGATTAATAGCAAAGATATATTTAAACATTTGAATGAATGACTTATACTACAAATTTTTATTTGCAGACATTACCGTAAATTGATGGATATTTTCTTAATCCATGCAGTCGATGAGTGTTTAACCTTTGCGTTTGATGCACTACACTCGATTTTTGTGGTAAAATATACTTTCTTCTTTATTTGGTTGTCATGCGTTTGATGCAGGTTGGAGAGGGCATGCGTAGATGCGTAGACGCATACGCAGAGTGGTGAACGTATGCGCAGATTCGTAGACGCATGCGCAGATTCGTAGACGCAAGCGCAGAAGCATTGACGCATACGCAGAGCAGTAGATGCGCGCGCAGATTCGTAGACGCATGCGCAGATTCACCGACGCATACGCAGATGCATTGACGCATACGCAGAACAGTAAATGCGCGCGCAGATTCGTAGACGCATGCGCAGATCGTACCGAAGCTAGGACTGCGCATACGAGTGTGTGACAAAATCTTACAAATAAAACTGACAGATATTTGATTCTATAAACAAGAATGTAACAAAAATCTATGTCTTTATTAACCACCAATAACGAATATTAATAAACTACGTATAGTGCACTGTGATAAAATAGTACTTGCTATTTTTAATAAAAGACATTAAAGCTTCATAAGAAATAAGAGTAGCAGAACTGTAGAACGTGTTATTGTAATGTGTAGAAATTTAACAATTTTTTTACATTTTCTAGAGAAACTTGTATCTATTTTATATGTTTATAGAAGACCCTAAAATCTATGTATGAATGTTTGAATGCACTATACCGTTTACTTACACACTGCAATAGAAATATAATATAAATTTGAAGATAAAATACTACTGATGCAAGTTAAAGATTATAGACTTATAAATTTACAACTAAACTAAATTCTAGTTAACATAACCTTAAAAACTCAATGAAAAGAATCTGTTTTAATTTTAAATGACATTTCTCCTTTCTTGTAATTACTTCACGATCCCTTAGCTGAAGTTTTACATGCCTATATGGACAAAAATGGCAGACAATGAAAGGCACGCGGTGAAAAAGTAAAATGGTGGAAGGGAATATTGAAATACAAGGGATCAACGGGTAAAAATTGTGAATGCACATCGTGTATTTATGAGTTGTGATACACGTATATGTATGGAGGAATGCTTATGCGGGCACAGCCTTTCTTCATGGCCGTGGTTCATCGTCGTCGGTCATCGAACTTGCAACAAATTCAAAATAAACGGTCAAGGCGTACCGAACTGTGCATATACGGTCACCATCAACTATCCTCGTTTTTTTACACCACCAAATAAATTTGCATTTTGCGGTAGAGTTCCTGATAGCCGATGTGCACGTGTTGGATGCGACGGTAAATATACTCGGATATTATATTTCGATATCTTTATATCGGGGAATATAAAGTAGTGTCGCTAGCTCCAGAGACAAATACGAGGCCTTCAGAACTGATAAGCGTAATGCAAGGTGAGGTGCGTTGTTTATAGGCTGCCGACCTGCTAATTAGAAATAATTTATTTATATTTTTTGTAAATGTGAAATTTTTGGATTTTTTAGATTTTTATATTTGTGTATTGTTAAATTGTTAGGTATTTTATTTGTGAATGAGTTTAATTGACGGATTGGAAATTGTTAAGTTAGATGAATTAAATTGGCAAGTTATTAATTATTCAATAAATAGTCAATTGTTAAATTGTGAGTTATTAAATTTTATAATAAACTTAATTGTTAAACTGCAGATTATGAAATTTTTAAATAAACTAAATTATTAAATTGTACATTGTGAAATCTACAAATAAATTAAATTACCAAATTGTAAATTATCAAATTAAGTGACAAACTATATTGTTAGATTGCAAATTATGAAATTTTTAAATAAACTAAATTATTAAATTGTACTTTGTGAAATCTACAAATAAATTAAATTGTCAAATTGTAAATTATCAAATTAACTAACAAACTATATTGTTAAACTACAAATTATGGAATTTTTAAATAAAGTAAATTATTAAATTGTACTTTGTGAAATTTACAAATAAATTAAATTGTCAAATTGTAAATTATCAAATTAACTAACAAACTAAATTGTTAAACTACTAATTAGTAAATTTCTAAGTAAACTAAATAATAAAACCACAAATTATTTTCTAAATAAATTCAATTGTTAACCTAAAAATTATGAAATTTCCAAATAAACCAAATTATATATTATATAAATTATAAATAATATTGTCATGTTAAATAATGTAGGTTTGTACTGAAATTTTTAACTGCAAGTTTTATACTTGAATGTTATTACAGGTGAAATGTCACAAAATGGTGGACTTGGTTACTAATTTAGAAACCTCTTCTGCTAGTAGGTCGGTTAATGGCCGCCACACCTGACAGGGAGTGGAATGTATGAGGAAAAAAATATCTTCTGACATACAAACAAAAATTTATTATTATATACAATACAATTAACATAACAAATTTAAAATTTACAAATTATCAAATTTCTGTACATTTTTAATTTTTCAATTAACAGAATATGTTTATATTTTTCAATTCTCAAATTTTAAAATGAAAAAATTGTTAATTTGAAAATTAAGAAATTTTGAAATTTCTAAGTTTTATAATTTGATTTTCGAAATTTGACATTTCTGTACTTTTCAATTTCAAAATTTCTGAATTCGTAAATTTCTTATATTTATAAATTACAAAACATTTCAACTTCTAAATTAAAAAATAAAGTTTAAATTTTCAAATATTTTAATTTTCCAGTTTTAAAATCATCAAATTAAAAATTTCAAAAATTCTCAAAACTTCAAATTTTTAAACCAACTAAAAAATTTCAAAAATCTTGAGATCTTATTAAATTTAAATAACCACCACACAATTATATTTTTCTTTCTAGAATTTTTCTAAATTTTCATGTACTTACCAAAAATTTATAATTATCATCAAAATAGTTGCATAACCTCAAAATCTCTGCAGATATTGTTTCTATTTTCCTGCTAGAACAATTGTCGAAATTATTTATATTTTATAATATTTTTATTAATATATTTATATATCATTTTCAATATATTTTTTTTATATTTAAAGAACTCCATACAGAACTCCATCCTCTGAAGACTTAATGAATCCTCCATTTTAAAATCAGATACCATAATCTTCCTTAATCCAGCCTCTTCAAAATTCCCATTATTTTCATTTGAATATAAAATTCCACGACTTCACCTTCCACAAAACATTTCCTTACGTTAAACCTCTCGAATCGCGTAATGTGAAGCGTAATTACGTTAATTCTTTTCCGTCTGACAACGATCGGATCAACAAAATGGGCGAATAAAGCGCGGACCGTCCGAACCGGAAGCAGATAAGCGGTTCGATATGCAACAACGTGATACATTATCAAGAAAATGAACGGAGTCGAAGGTAGTTCGGTTAGATTTACTAAATAGGCGAATTGCTCTAAAAGGATAGCAACGTTACCGTTAGAGTAAAAAGAAATCCTGAAACGCGACTTCCTCTCGGCCGTGATTGCAATACACAAGCATGATTAACTGGCTTCTTTCAGTCGCGAGGGTTCGCCAAAACCTTTATCTCCGATGCGTCTGTTCATTACAGAATCAGAAAATTCCTCTTTTTATGAAGAAACCGAGACGTGTATCCTGTTTATGTGAATGAAGACATTAGCATGCGGCTTCATATGGAAATTAAGTCGCGAGACATGCTGAACCTATTTCGAACACCACGTTGTAAATCTGAGAATTTCGATGCTGCGGCATTTCGAAACTTCGAATGTACCAACTTGGAAACTGTTTCTTTCTAAATTTATGTCGAGTTTCGAGATGAATATAGCGTCTTTCGATTTCGGATGTCGTTTCGGTGACGGGTTGTTTGTAGATTTAGAAATTTAATTTTAGAACTGACGTGGATGGAGAGGAAGTAATTTAGAGTCTGTTGATGCAGAAATTTGGAAATTTGAAATTAGGAAATTGGGGGTTAGGAAATTAGGAGATAGGAAATTAGGGGATAGGACATTAAGGGGATTAGAAAATTAAGGGATCAGGCATTAAGAGGATTAGGAATTTAAGGGATGAGACATTAAGGGAATTAGGAAATTAAGGGATGAGACATTAAGGGAATTAGGAAATTAAGGGATAGAAAATTAAGGGATGAGGCATTAAGGGGATTAGGAAATTAAGGGATGAGACATTAAGGGGATTAGGAAATTAAGGGATAGGAAATTAAGGAATGAGGTATTAAGGAGAATAGGAAATTAAGGGATGAGATATTAAGGGGATTAGGAAATTTAGGGCTGAGACATTAAGGAAATTAGGAAATTAAGGGATGGGACATTAAGGGGATTAGGAAATTAAGGGATGAGATATTAAGGGGGTTAGGAAATTAAGGGATGAGACATTAAGGGAATTAAGAAATTAAGGGATGAGACATTAAGGGTATTAGGAAGTTAAGGGATGAGGCATTAAGGGGATAGGAAATTAAGGAACAGGAAATAAGGGAATTAGGAAGATAAGGGATAAGAAATTAAGGGATAAGGCATTAAGGGGATTAGGAAATTAAGGAATAAGAGAATAAGAAGATCAGAATATTAGAAAATTAGGGAATAAGGAAAATAACTAATTAGGAAATCACAAGTTCTGACACTAAAGAATTAGGAAATTAGAAGGTTGGGAATTAGGAAATTGAAAAATTAAAGAATTAAGCAATTAGGAAATTATGAAACTAAGAAATTAATAAACTGAAATTCAAAAATTATAGAATTAGGAAATTAGGGAATAACAGAATTAAGAAATAGCAAAGTTATGAAACGGAGAAATTGGGGAATTAGGAAGCTGGAAAATTAGGGAATTACGAAATTAAAAAATTGAGAAATTAAAAAATTAGGAAATTATGACATGAAGAAATTATGGAATTAAGGAATCAGGGAATTAGGAAGTTAAAAAACTTGGTAGTGAAGAAATAGCAAATTAGGAAATCAGGAAATTAGCAAATTAGGAAGTTAGGAAATTAGGAAATTAGAAAGTTAAAGAATTAAGAAATTAGGAACTACAAAAATTCTAAGTTTTCAACTTTACAACTTTCACAATTATCAACTTCTAAAAATTAAATATATAATAAATTATAAATTCAAAAATGTATAAACTTGGAATTCTAGAAACTTTTTCATACAAAACTACCAAATTCATCAATACGCAAATTTCCAAACTTAAAAATGTTCACCTATAAAATTTAAATATCTGATAATTAGCAAATTCAAAAAATTTACAAATACAAAAATATCAAACTTGCAAATATAAAAATGTAAAAAGAAGCAAATCAAGGTTACCAAATACAAGAGTAACCGTAAGGAGCACGAGAAGGAAGGAAGAGGTTCTCGACCAAGACAGTGTTACGTGTCAAACGGTAAGGCGATCCGAACGCCTTCGAAAATATGTTCCGAAGCTACCGGCAATTTTCCCACAACTCCTCCCACAATCTACAGAGATTCTTACCGAGGTCCTTCCTTGCCTTTTTGCCCCTCTTGTTCTCTACTCTCCTCTCTTTCCCTCGCGAACAAATCGTATTGACCGACTCTTCTTCCCGAGGCTCGCTCGGTCATATAACGGGATGCAAGGAAAACGCACTCGAATTCCCTTTGATTCGATCGCACAATGACGGCTTTCGTTTGAACAATGACTAGTCGAGGGGTCCTTTTCGTAGGTATTGGACCACTCCTCGCAAGTTGAGAAAATCAGGACCGCAAAAGACGGCTTTACCTGCCGGCGATGTATGACAGAGCGGAACAACGCGGGAAAAGAATCGGGAACCACTTTTTTTCACTGTAACTTGGGGTAACTTTGACGTAAATCAAATTGACTATGATTTATAGTTTAAATGAAAATTAATAAAAGAATGGAAATTGTTCATTTCAAAATTTAATAAAAATTTTTATAATAATAATTGATAGTTAGAAAAAATAACAGAGTTGCAATTTTAAATGAACGAAAAATTATAGCATAGTATCTAACAGCTGGTTGGTTAAGAGATTTTTAAGTGTTAGTGATTAATAATATCAGCTAAGATACATTTACATGTTTACGTAGATGACTTACATTCTAAACCTTCATTTGTGTAAACTACAAATAAATTAATTGATATTTTATTAAGTTGTGTAGTTAATGTGTGTTTAAAATTAGCATTTAGTGCACTGTATTTGATTTTTGATAAAAAAAAACTGTTTATAAATATAATTGTCAGTGTTATTTTCGATAAAATACACTTCTACTTTGTTTGGTTGTCAACCGTTAACCGTAGATCGCAACGCGCATGCGCAGATCTGTCGACGCATGTGCAGAGCTTTAGATACATGCGCAACTCTGTCGGTGCATGCGCAGATTCAACAACGCATGCGCAGATGAGTGAATATATGCGCAACAGATATATAACCTCATCACTAAATAAAATGTTACAAAAACCCATCTATTTATTAATTAACAACTACAAAAATGTGTAAATTACATATAGTACAATATAATTATATAACAGTTAATATTTTTAATAAAAGAAATTCAAGTTTCGCAAGAAATAAACAAAGCACAACTGAAAACAAGAATAATAGATGTGTTAAAAATAATAAATAATTAAATTTGAAAACACTCTCACCTAGTGCTGTATAATAAATGAGTTAAAATTAATAAATAATTAAATTTGAAAAAACTCCCACCTAGTACTGAATAATAAATAAGTTAAAAATAATAAATAATTAAATTTGAAAAACTCCCACCTAGTACTGAATAGTAAATGTGTTAAAAATAATAAATAATTAAATTTGAAAAAACTCCCACCTAGTACTGAATAGTAAATGTGTTAAAAATAATAAATAATTAATTTTGAAAAACCTTCCCAGTGCTGTCGAATAAATCTTATAATAAAATGTATTTTTGATTTCGCAAGATTTCCCTAACCTTTCTGATTTTTTTCAAGAAAGTTATTGGGGAAACAGGCACGTGAAATTGTGTTATTATGCCCAGCTACCTGTCGGCGTGGCCAGACGGGGAGGCGCAGGAAAAAGATCCCAAAAGAAAGGAGGGAAAAAATGGAGAAGGGAGACACGAGAATGAAACGTGCCGGAATGGGTCACCTACGTCAATATACCGGTTACGCGCGCGCGATCTTCATCCCCCTTTTGCCCGTGGACGAAAAGTTTCTCACGAAAGGGAAGAAGCGTGGTGTCGCGAACAGAAGACTTTGTCGAACAGAAACGAAAAACGATCCTTCCACTCCCGGGGATATGCAGCCTTTTTTTCCTCTCTTCTCCTATTTCTCGAAGGAGTCAGGGAAGAAGGCGTAGTCTTCACGGGGAGAAAAAAAGAAAACAGAACGAGCATGGTGATGGGCGACTGTCCTGCGCTGGAGGGCGTGTAAGGGTGGGCAAGTGGCGTGCACCTGCGGGCAACCGATAAGAACGATAGGAGCAATCTGTGAATTTGTAGCTTTTTAATTTGGAATGGTGGATCGTATTTTTTTCATATGTACTTTTGTGAAGTTGTTTTTAAAATTGTAAATATGCAAGGTCATGAATTTTTGTGTATGTAGATTTTTATTTTAGGAAATTGCAGAGACTGCAAAGTTGAGAGTTTGGAATTTTTTAAATTTGTATTTTTGGGAAATTAAATTTCTGAATTAACGAATACTAAAATCTGATATTTCCAAAATTTCAAAACTCAATATTCATAAATTTTCAAATAACTAACTAAAAAATCTCCATATCCCTAAATTTCAAAATCATCAACCACAAACATCTCATACTTTCTAAATCTACAAATAGCGTACCATAAAAATTCGATATTTCAAATCTCCCGCCAATTTATGTTGACGGTAACTAACTACAAAATTTGTTGTTTATTTTGTTAAGACCTCTGATCATTGGCCCACTACAAAATTTATCTCTAAATCCTAAAATAATTAATCACATATCCGAACAAAATCAAATTCAATGTGTACATATGTAACGCTAGAATTTTTACTGTCATGTCACCCATCTACAGTTGTGACACTTAACCTATACAAACCAAACATCTCCATTATCAAAAATTTCTCCACTTTCCTAACCAAAAATACCCGCATTAATTACTTGGAACAACGAAAAATAAATATAATAAAATATTTGCTATGAAAATCCGTATAAAAATACTACCTAACGCAATTTTCAATTACCTAAGTCAATATGCTAAAATAATTGCCCTCCCCATGCCGAATTGCCCGTGAACGCTGTACCTGCTCGTTACCGACACAGTCTCGAAAGAAGCCTCGGTACAAAAAAAAGCAGAAATTACCAGTGGTGTCATCCCGTTAGTATTTACGAAGAAAATGTCAGGCCGATAAACGATTCGCAAAGTTTGCGCTTCTACCGCACCTTTGACTCTCGCTTAGGTCGCTTACGTTACTTACGTTGCTTACATAATAAGCGATGAACTCTCGGTTAACTCTTTTCCCTTCACCCTCTCCCATCCTGTCCCAGTCTCTTCTCCTTTCTTCTTCTCGTTTCCTCGCCGTGGCACATAATCGAGGCTTCTCCGTCAACGGTATAAAGGAGAAACGATCTCGATCGGGAGGGAGTAGAGAACGGAGGTCGACATTACGCCACAGAATTTCTTCTACGAATCCTCTTCGTAGATAGCTGTCCCTACTGTCTTCCTCTCATCTTCGACCACGGTTTTGCGCAACTTCGCTAGCTCTTTACTCGTTACTGTTGAAGGGAATGGGAAATGACCAAAAGTTCGACGAATATCGAATATGTATTTATTGTTGCGAACACGTCCTCGCTCGGTCGATTATGAGACGGAACTGCTCGCTACGAAAACATAACAACGTCGTAACCGTCGCGCGACAAAAAACGCTCGAGGCGCGTTCCGGCACGATTCGATGCGAAAAACTGTACGACACAAATGGGGTGATTTTACGATATCAACAGTTACATTTTACGCTTCTGTAACAATGCAGGTTATTTTCGAAGGAGAGGAGTTACGATATTTTATTTATGAATGTGTTCGTTTTTGTATCGGGAGTTATTAAATTTTCAAGTTTTTTTAAATAGAATTTTTAAATTCTTAAATTTTCAATAAATTTCCAATAAGATTCTCATACATTTTCCCCTAAAAAAATCTATTCTTAATTACTTAATACGCACATAGAATAATACATTTGTATATCGTTCGTTGCACCACAAATTAACTAGTTTAAATAAATAAACTGTACCGTATCGTCAAGAGGAAACGTTTCATTAAAATAAAAGACAAAAATATATTAATTTAATTACAAATAAATATATAGAGCAATTGATAGAATATTACAGTATTGAAATATCAACACTTTGACTTCCACGTCACCCATATATATGTCACTTAAAAATTTATAATGATCTAACATCTGTATTGTTAAAAATTTATTATTAATAAATTATTATTGAAAACACATAACAGAAAATACCTCCACGTCACCCATATACGTGTCACTTAAATATCTATAAAGATGTAATATCTGTATTATTAAAAATTTGTTATTAATAAATTATTATTAAAAACACTTACATAATAGAAAAAACTCGTAACTATGGAAAATAAATCTAACAAGCTAAAGTGAAGATATTTCATAAGATTTATTGAAAATAAAAAAACTAATGCAATTTTCAACTGCCGCGTAGCTGTCATTGTGTTAATAAGAGACCGATGAAAATGAAAATGGACGTACCTTGCAAGCCATCCGTTAATAAAAGAAAGCACGTTTAAGAAAAAAAGGAAGACACGATTTAGTAGCATCCTTTCTCTTGTTTCCTCGCGTGTTAGAAGTCGGTGAAAGACACGAACGAACCTTTAAGCAGCCGATCCTCCTGCTAGATTATTTCATAAGCATTCCCAATACGGAAAAGTTCATCCGCTCTTACCGAGCTACGAGTTCGAATCATTGCGCAAGCAATTCGAAGTTGAGGATCGCTCCTTTGCTTCGTTGCTTACACGCATCCGTGTTCGGATACGACGACACGAATACATACGTGAAATACATTCCTTTGAAAGCTGAGCTCGATGATTGACTTCTCTCAAATTCGTCCGGTTCAGAAGCTGCACGAGAAGTGACGAAAAGTTTGAAAATACATATTGTGACGCGAGGTGGACGGGTGCCGCCATCTTGCGTGATTTTAGAGAAACGTCGCAGGGGATAGCAAAATCAATTTCAAATATTTTAAAGCGTAGGATTTATGGTAATTTAAAATGAGAATTAGTACAGGTAAAGAATTTTTGAATTTGAATTTAATTTTTAGGAGAGGACGGTAAAAGAAAACTTGAGTATTTTTAATTTCTAAATTTTTGTACTTGTATATTCCCTAATATGGCATTCTTCGAATTTGGAAATTTTGAAATAATTATATTGTTAGCTATACTTCAAATGTTTAAATTCCAAGTTTTATAAATTATAACAGTTTTTCCATAGTTGAACTTTTCTATATTTTTATATATTTAAATTATTGATTTCTTGGACTGTTAAATATTCAAATCCCAACTTAGCAATATACAATTAGATAAATTTCTAAATTTACAAGATTTCGAATTTCGAAATTTTCAAAGTTGTAAATGTTTTGATTTAAAAGTTTTCAAACTGTTCACATGTGTAATTTTTAAATTGTGACATTCTTACATTTCTAAATTTTTTATTTTGTATTTCTGATTCTCAAATTTTCGAATTTTTATATTTCCTTATACCCTAATTTCTGGATTTCAAAAATTACAATCCACAAGTTCCCTAATTTCCAAATCATTTAATTTCCAAGTTTACCAATTTCCATATACAAAGATTCTCAAGTTCTCCAACTACCAAATACCAAAATTTCCAAATCCCTAAATCTCCTAGTTTTCAAATACCAAAATCCCCAAATCCCTAAAACCCCTAGTTTCCAAATATCAAAATCTCCAAGTCTCTGAACTTGCAAGTAACAAAATCCCTAAATCCTGAAATTCACCAATTCCGAAATACCAAAATCCCCAAATCCCCAAAGTACATAATACCAAAATCCCCAAATTCCCCAACTACATAATACCGAAGTCCCTAAATCCTAAAATTCCTCAAATATCAAACATCAATATCCCCAGTATTCTCCAAGTATATAATACCAAAATCCCTAAATTCTCAGCTACATAGTATCGAAGTCCCTAGATCCCGAAATTCTCCAAATGTCAATTACCAATATCCTCAGTATTCCCCAACTGCCGAATACAAAAATCCCTAAATCCTGAAATTCCCCAAATACCAAACACCGATATCCCCAATATTTCCCAACTACCAAAATCCCTAAATTCTGAAATTCTCAAATTTCCAAATATTAAAATCCCCAAATTTTCAAAATATCAAAATTCCCCAGATTGGAAATGCTACTTGTGCAAAGGTGTATAAAAACACTTCGTGCCACAACCAATAAAACTAAAGTTACTCCCTCAAACAATAATTCTACTTACGCCAATGTTTATATCCAGCTGTAGTCATAAGACGTAATATCCTAGCGAAAGAGAGGACAAGATAAAGCAAGGTTGGTACAACACGCTTGCTTCTGCAGTGGGTGCAATCGAGAGCTTCTCTCTCATTGGGTAATACCTGACGTAACTACGATTGAAAACGTGGAACCGGTTTCTTTTTCTTTTCATGAATTTTGTCAAATCTTTGTTTATACAACTCTCTTTTAACACGCACTTATAACTCTTACACCCTATGCTCTTCTTTTGTGTTATTTTGCAGCCATGTTAACACTAAACGTATCGGTGCACATTCTTCAAAATGAAAAATAAATAAAAGGTGAAACGTAACTTAATATACATGCTAGTTCTTTATCTCCGTGAAAGTTAACAGAGATTTCAAGAAAAGTGTCTGAAGAAATGTGATTTGAAATGACGAACGTATGAAACTCATTTCACGAATTTGGTTAGGTTAGTGTTAAGTGAGACTTATGCAATGAGGTTGTCAAGTGCATTTCTTTTTTTTTTTAATTTTATCAAAAACGAAACTTTTAGCATCAAATAACAAAGCTGCATAATTACTCGAGGAATATTTCGCAAATAAGAGCTTGATAAAATACTTGTTCGAAAAACGTGGCTGTCCTCGTTATTTCTCGCGGGAGAGACAAGCATCGGTAGCTTCCCATTCTCGCCAGCAGATGTCCCGAAAACCGATCGACCCCCGAAAAACAATGTCGTCAGTGACTCACCGGTGTACAGAACGTGACGATGTTTATCTCGAAATTATTTCATATCGAATCCGTGTTCGGTTGTGAAGAAATTCCTGTAACGGCCGTACGTACGCACACCTTTTCCGGGATAACGCGAAGCGGTGGGCCCTTTGGGGAATAATTCTTCCGCGTACACGAGGCCGCGGAAAAGAAAACCCGATCACGTAGGTGCGCACATGGGCGTGAGTATGCTCGCGACAACGTGTCCCGTTTTTGAAATCGCCCCTACGTGATCGAGGTAAATCCGCATGAATTTCTCAGCAGGCGCGATTAGCAATCGACCGTACGTAGGACTCTGCCAAAGATTACCAACGAGTTTGCGGCCCGATATCCTCGTCGGTTTTTTAAATTTTACGTCGGATCCGATCACCCGGCGAATGTTAAGCAAGACGAACTTACATAACGGACATGTAACTGCAAAGGCTAATCGAATCTTTTACACACGTCCGGTTTATTGGGATAAATGAGTCGTGCGCTGCCCAAACTGACTGGATACGCTCTTTCAATTTTTAATGAACCCTTTTTTTCGTTATTTAACCTTTCGAATTTGGTTGCGAGTGAAATATGCTGAATGAAAGGCGGCAGTGGGGTTTTGATAAATGACTTGGGATAATTGTGAAGTAAGTGGAAGCGTCAGATTACTGGTTGAGATACTTGTAGGTGTGCTGTTAGGTTAGAGTTAAGATAAATTAATTTGAAATAAGTTAGGTTAGATTAAGAATGTGGTGACAGGAACAGTGTTACAGTAATATAGTAGGTTAGGTTAATAGTAATCTAGGTGTTATAGTAGGTTAGGTTAGCAGTATAGTCCATTAGATTAGGTTAGGATAAGATATAGTAATATCGTAGGTTAGGTTAATAGTAATCTAGGTATTATAATAGGTTAGGTTGGGACCACAGTCGATTAGGGGTAAACGTTAAGGTTAGGTAAGTTCATTCTTAGGTTAGATTAGAAATGTGGTGGTGGGGACTATAGTAATATGTCACACTGGATTTCTGTCAAAATAATATTATAACTTGTTTTAATTTTTAGTTGGTAAGTTTTTAAATCTGCAAACATTTAAGTTTATTTTTTAAATTAATTTTAAAATTCAAAAGCATACAAAAATTTTGAAATTACTTTCTCTGTTTATATTCAATTTACAAAATTCATTTTAATTATACTACATTAAACATCTACCCAATAAAATGTCTACTATTCTTGTTATACGTATCATCAATAACTAAATGTCCCTAGGTACATAAACTCCCCCTAGGTTTCCTTAGATTTATTTCCAGTTTCCCTAATGAACCGTTAAAACTAAAAAACCAAAATCCACAGAATCAATCTAGCACAGTAACGATGATACAACCGACAGAGCATAGAGCAACCGGAATAGGGGAAATTCGCTTAATCTGATTGGCACGAGTGTTTTACGCGTAGATGCGAGTATACGAGCCGCTTCGATTGCACGAGCCACGCTTTCCTCGTGACATAATATTATTTAACCCAGAATAATGCCGTATACAGTAGTTGCGTAACGATAGAATTCGCGTGCCGGTAATTCGCGACATGACTGCGAACTCGAGGCTGGTTCTTTTATTATATAAACCGAAGGAGGTTGCACAGTTCGCTCGAGCTACTGCTATGTACAGTCAGAAGCAAATCTGCCTTTCATAAGGAAAATATGAAAGTGTGAAAACCACCCACTACAGGATTTTTCAGGATTTTGAAAAATTTGAATGTTTGGTGACGGGTTAAGAATTTGGGGATATAGGGATTTTAGGATGTTAGAATTTAGGGATTTTTGGATAGGGAAATTTAGGGATTTAGAGATCTAGGGATTTCTGGATTAGGTAGTTAGAGAATTAAGATTTTTGGGAACTATGTTTTTGGAAATTAGAAATTTGAGAACTTAGGAATTGGGGGATATAGTGGCTTCCTAGTGATTTTTTAGAATTTTGGGATTTGGAGATATGGGAATGTAAGGACTTGAGGACATATGTAGATGTTTAGGAAGTTAGTCAGTTGGAAACTTTTGGGGAACTTTTGGAATGTGGGGACTTTTGGGGAACTTTTTGGAATGTGGGGACATAGGGACTTTAGGACATCAGGATTTAGGGATTTATAGAAATGGGAATTTAGGGATTTGGAGAATTAGAAATTTGGGAATTTAGGAATTAAGAGATATAGTTATTTAGATAATTATGAATTTAGGGACACTGTAATTTGAGAATCTAGGGATTTTTAGACATAGGAAATTAGAAATATATGAATTCGGGGCATAGGTATTTAGAGAACTAGAAATTTGGGGGTCTGGGAATTTGTGGATATAGAAATTTGGACTAATTAGAGATCTAGTGACAAAAGAATCTAGAGACTTAGGACTTTACGGACTTAGAAGATTTGGAGTATTAAAATTTGAGGAACTAGAAATTTCAAAACAGAAATTTATGACTTCAGAAATTTAGGGACTTAGGAATTCAGGCCATAGGTATGTAGGGAACTAGAGATATGAGTCCTTAGAATTTTAGGAATGTAAAAACTTAGGGACTTACAAATGTAGGAACATAAAAATTGTAAAACTGAGAAATTTTTATATGGATATTTGTGAAAATATAAATTTGGAGATTTATATTTTTGAGAACCTAGAAATTTGATTTTCTAGTAATTTATAAACATAGGTATTTTTATTTCACATAGTTTTGATAAAATCTGGCTTCTTTACAAACTTACCGTTCCGTACAGGTACACCTGTTGCACTACAAGGTCCCTGACAACACTCACCTGATTATAAAAATCCATCTAGAAAAAAAATCTAGTTCCTTTTTCTTGACTTTCTTCACAAACAGTTATTTCATTGTAAGTAGCAGAATAGAAGATACAGAAAATACAAAAAGGTATTAACGAGGAAAAAAGTGTTTGCAAAATACTTCCATTGTATTTTTGTCTCGTTTTGTTAGGGTGCCCCATAATTTCCACAGACTCCCCCTCTATATGCGTTACTGGTTACCGTCTTGGTTGCGGTAGCACCTTCGCGACAGAAAGTTTTCTTTCGTACAAAACCAACGAAATTTTCGAACGGCTTCCACCGAATTGAGCAACTGTTGCACGAGCGTGGAACGTCGAAACGAGATAATGCTATGCAGAGTACGATGTTGAGTCTTTTACGTAGCATTGGTATTCCAGAAAGCGTACACGCCTTTCGTCGAGGAGTAACAAGGAAAGTTGGTAAACGTCGTGCCATTGCATCGTTAACGCGACTCTCTTTTTACTCGTGATTCCCCCTTCGTGAATCTTCGTGATTCCTCGTAACTCATGATTCGCAATTCGGCCCTAAAGGTCGCCATCAGGCACAGGTTATGTTAACTTACGTAACCTAACTTTACTTGACCTGACTCTTTCACTCTGTTCCTCTTTTCTTTATGTTACTATTAAACAAATAACTTGTGCCTTGCAACAGGTGGTTCTTGTAAAGTGTTTTTATATCTTTTGAATATCTAACCTAATCTAATTATTTTGTATTGATATAGACTGTTACAATTAAAAGTACAGTCTTTTTTTAATATGAAGTGATATACAAATTCAAAGGTTATGTATGTATTTCAGGATTTTATATATTTTTAGGTCTCTACATATTTTTACTATTGTATATATTTATAGTTCATATGTGTATTCATTTATAGGTTATAATATATTTGTGATACTTGTGATGATGTGAAGGAGACTTTTTCTTCAATACATTCAGGATTCTCCAAGAATGGAAGAAGAAGAAGTGCTACATTTTACTGGCAACATGACTCACACCAGTTTTTTATATTTACATTATTTCTAGAGAAGTGAAGGTGACGTTTAGTTTTTTAAAGAGAAAGCTATGTACATTTATATGTTTATATATATTTCTAGTTTATTATAGTTCATATATGAAATTATTTCTAGTTACATTTATAGTCTATAAGTATATTTATAATTTGTGTATAGATTTACAGTTTATATATATGTATTTCTAATTTATATATATATTTATAGTGTATGCGTACATCTATTGTTTATACGTACAATTGTAATTTATATTATATAGAACATTTATAGTCTATATGTATTTATAGTTTCTACATACATTTCTAGTTTATATTTACATTCATAGTTTCTATGTATATTTCTAATTTATATTTACATTTATAAATTATAATATTTCTAGTTCATATGTATCTTTATAATTTTCAAATATATTTATACGTTGTACATACATTTCAGTTTATATACATTTATAATTTGTGTATCAATTTATATTTTATATATATATTTACATTTTGCATATATATTTATAATTTATATCTATATTCATAATTTATATCTATATTCATAATTTATATATAAATTTATATGTTATATATTTGTACTTTATCTATGAAGTTTCAGTTTATATACATTTGTAGACTATAAGTACATGTATGTCTAACTTTGTAATGTACATTACTTGAAAAATTCTCACGCAAAAAATCGTGGAATGTCATACTTGCGTAAACTTCCGCAATTTGTGGAGGCTCACTATGAAAGTACGAAAAGGAATAAGAAGGATCTACATAGTTTCATTTTTGTATGATAATGATATGGATACCATACCCACGTGAACTGGTATCTAATGACGGATATTACATTAACGGTTGTTGAAGGATGCGATGAGCACTAGAAGGATGAGAGAAAGCGAATCTGTCTCTCGCTGTTGCGTCAACATAATTGCAGAAGCAGTTAAGAGAGGCTCTCGTGGAGCGTCTTCGAGTGTTACATCAGCACGATAGATGCTGCAAATTGGAAATTATGTACCGGGTACATCGTCTAAATTTAACATGCAATGTTCCATGTATTTTGCCTTTGTAACACTATTAAAAAATATCAAAATATTGTACATTTATACAGGGTGTATTACTAGCTTTACTACAAGGTGATATCTTTAGTGTTTGCTGACTTTGTTAAATTGTTAAAATTATTTTTATTATAATTTCTTTCTATAATATATTTTATTATGAATTGTTAAAATTATTTGGTTCATATAGTCACACATATAAAAGGATAAATTTTTTACAGGAACACATATTAGAGGATAAATTGTTTCACATACACACATGAGGATGAATTGGTCACATCGGCACACATGAGGAGAATTTGGTTCACATAGACACACATAAAAGGATAAATTGTTTGAATTATATATGAAAAGATAAAGTGGTACACAAGACACATATGTGAAAGGATGAATTGGTTCAAATGAACATATACATAAAAGGATAAATTGTTCTTTAAGACAAATATTATTATAAACAAATCCTGAAGTTAGATATTAAGCTACGCTATGTCCTTAAAATATTTGTTGAGGTTTAGAGTCAAACTGTTATTTTAAATTTGATATCATATATGGTATCTTGACATATATCAAGTAAAATCCTATAAAATAATTATAACCTTCATGTGACCTTCAATATGAAAAAATTGAAAGACTTTTTCTAACAAAAGTATGAGTTACAAGTTAAATAGAAGTGAAATGAATAAAAGTTAATGTTACAATTCAACATATGATGATATACTTCACACTCAGGATAATACAAATCATTTAAAGAAAACAACCCTTACTCCAAGTTAAAGAAACGACCATAATAGCAACCATTCTGCTACAACCAGAATAACAAATTACAAGCTAGTTACCAATTATCCAAAAAGAAGTAATTTTCTTCCACATAAGTTTCAATTATAATTACAAAGTGTGTCGATACGTGTCCACATGCAAATCCCGGCGCACGGATGTACCGATCGAGCATTAGGAATAAAATAATCGGTTAAACGTAAAGAGTAATTTGTATGGCACGCGATTCGAAGTTAGATCAACCGGTCGGTCATCGATAACAGGGTCCGCCAAAGAAAGAATGCAAAGCGAATATGGTCAGGATACAAGGTAGTACATAAGCCGGATGGGTTCGTCTCGTGTTCCAAGTACTACAAGAGCGATGTTCACGTGTTGAGACTGTCAATTCGGAAAGTTGCGCGCGACGAGCATCCCCGTTCACCTTCGCCCACCTTCGACCATCAGGTTTTGCCCCTTCCTTCCTCACCTTATCCATGGGAACGTTGACTTCGAGGCGTGGCGCCGGAACTCGGGGAACGTCCTAGTCTGACGACCTCCTCGATAATTACGTGATCGACTGCGTTCCATTCACGGTACTCTTTGTCACTAATTTACACGAATTCTTAGCCCTTTGCTGGGCCCAATTAACTGTTTACCTAAATGGGCATATTTGTGGGACATGTGTAGGAACGGGTATGGGACGTATGGGATACGTGTATGCAACATACACGACGCAAGACATATGGGGCATATGTATGAAGTTTATGTATAGCACATGTATATGGAACATGTATATGTGCTATATGTATGAAACATATGTATAAGATATGGGTATGAAACATATGCATAGGATATGGTTATAGAACATATGTACAATACATATGTATAGAACACACTCATGAAACACTTGTATAGGGCATACATATTTAACCTGTAAATATGGGACAAGTATATAAAACATATACATGGGACATATATGTAGGCTGTATTATGTACAAGACGTATACATGTACCTATGAGGTATCTATATGGGACATATGCAAAGGGTATGTGTATAGAGTATACATACAGGGCATATGTAAACAATATATCAAGGGAAGAGAGGCACCACAAGAAGTCCTCTATTGTTTATCATCTGGAAGTCACAGACTTTTAAAATTTCAAAATTCTAAAACTTTCAGATGTCAAAATTATTATTAAAATTAAAAGTCCTAAAAATGTAGTCCCAATGCAATAAAATTGTAAAATTGTAAGATTGTAAGATTGTAAGATTGTAAGATTGTAAAATTGTAAAATTGTAAAATTGTAAGATTGTAAGATTGTAAGATTGTGAGATTGTAAAATTGTAAAATTGTAAAATTGTAAAATTGTAACATAGTAAAATTCGAAAATTCAAAAATTCTAAAAATTTAAGATTAAAAAATTTAAAAATCCTAAAATTAAAAAAGTCCAAAATTCTAAAATTACATTCTGAAAGTCCTAATACTTTACTCTCCCAAATTTCTAAAATACCAAAAATTCAAAATTGCAAAATTCCAAAATTAAAATTCCAAAACTGTAAGATCTTAAAATAAGATATTTTTACAATTCTATTTTAATGTATTAATGAATTTTGTTAAAAAACAATAGCTATTGTTGATGTTTACCTTTGTAAGTAACGCCAATGTCATAAACTGTTTTGCAAAGGGTATCGGGTATCTAGTCTTATCCGTAAGAGGTGTTAGTCAGGGACTAATCTAGAGCGGCGATTGGCGACTGCATCCGTGAAGGCGTTATGGATGAACATACAAGTGGCGTAACCTTGCGGACACTGTTCCGTACTCTATCTCTCAATTAGACTACTCTTTTCCATTTAATCTGTTTATATTTCTATATTACTAAATTTCTGAATTTTTAAATCTTCAAATTGTTAGATTATAAATTCATAAATTTCTGTTTTCTAAGTTTCCAAATTTTTAATTCCTGAATTTTTAAATTTGTAATTTTTCAAATTTGTCAGTTTCTAAATTTTTAAAATCATACATGACTGAATTTTTAAGTTTCTAAATTTTTAAATCTCCAACTTCTAAATTTTCAAATTACTAAGTTTCAGTATACCTACATTTCCACATCTCCTAAATTTTTAAAATTTCTAAAATTTCTAATATTCCTAAAATTTCTAAAATCATAATATCAATGTTTGAGTTTAAAAATTTAAAAATTTAAAAATATGAAATTTAAAAAGCTAAAAACTTGATATTATACTTCCATAATATTGAATTCCTAAATGTTTGAATTTTCAAATTTGACAATCCAATAACCATTTATACATGTACTATCAAATAAAAATATCAAATAATGTAGTGTATATATAAATAACAATATATTAATGAAATATTTACAAATAATTTCTGAATTTTTCAGAAAAGATTAGAAAATATAAATGAGCATAAACAACGTACATATTTATATTCGTCACTGATAATAGTATTTATCAATCTGCTGATATGAATGTGTACAGTAACAGGTATATGAAACATGATTCTTGGGATAGGTGCAGTTAATTTGCCGGTTGCCTCATTGCAGCATGAAAATGCTTGAAGGTGCACACAGAAATAGCCTACACCAAAATTTGTTGAAGAAAATGACAGGTAAGTACATAAATAATAAATAAATAATAAAACCTTGATTTTCTTTTTTCAAAAATAATTTATTTTCACACAAGAATAAATTTTATTTTATTTATTTAATTTCATTTTGGAAATTCGAAAATTTGGAATTTTGGAAATTTGGAAATTTGATAATTTGGAATTTTGGAATTTTGGAATTTTGGAAATTTGGAAACTTGAAAATTTGAAATTTTAGAAATTTTTGTAATTTGGAAATTCGAAAATTTGGAAATTTGGAAATTTGAAAATTTGGAAATTTGGGAACTTGAAAATTTGGAAATTTGGGAATTCGGAATTTTGGAAATTCGAAAATTTGGAATTTTGGAAATTTTGGAATTTGAAAATTTGGAAATTAGATAATTTGGAATTTTGGAAATTTGGAAATTCGAAAATTTGCAAATTTGGAAACTTGAAAATTTGGAAATTTGGAAATTCGGAATTTTGGAAATTTGGATACTTGAAAATTTGGAATTTTGGAAATTCGAAAATTTGGAAATTTTGGAATTTGAAAATTCGGAAATTTTTAAATTTTGAATGTTGAAGTTTTGAAATTTGGAATTTTGGAAATTTTCAAAATTAAAAATTTGGAATTTTGAAAATTCGGAAATTTGAAAATTGGAAAAATCGGAAATTTGAAAATTGGAAAATTCGGAATTTTCGAAATTTAGAAATTTTGCTTTTCCTATATTATACTACTATAAAAGAATTATAAAAAAATCTTTCATTACATCACATAATTTTTCATTAAAAAAAAAAAAGAAACAATAAGACATTCCTTAACATTCTCCAAAATATCAAATTTCTATCGATCAAAATTCCCTTTCCCAAAATCCCCCAAAGCAAGTATAATAATTACGAAACGCATAACAGTTACGCCGTGTTTACGCTCTAATAGTAAAAGAATGTACCCCCATGGTGTCCAGTTACAGGGCCGTATCGAAACGTTTAGGGGGTTAAAGTGTCCTCGTGCACCTCGAACAGGAAACGGACTAGGAACTGAAGTCGCGAACGTATTATTGATCGGTGTCCGAGTGCGCCAGCGCAATGCAATTCTCGGGGCAAAACAGTAGCAATCTACCCTCATTCACGTTTCGTGTGCAGTGCTTCTAGTGTTATTCTATCGTCCATTTGCTATTTTGACACTGTCAAAGTGTCGTCGCGCGTGGCTAACATGTCCGGTGGTACGTGTGCTTGCGTTTCATTTCGTCTCCCATCTTTCTGCCCAAAATAGTGGATAAAAACAATGCAAATATAACGGGGTGTACCATAACAACGGGTTGTTGCCTCTGTTGTATCAATAAATTCCTTTAAATAGTACACCGGTTATGCGGGGTAGATGCATAAAAAAGTGGGTGGGTTCCTTTTTTAAAATAACGGTTTAATTTATTAGGTATTTTTTTGGGGATGGGGATTTAGTTTAACTATTGTTTGATGTAGGTGTGTGAGAGGTTGTGACGAGGTTTTAATGATTCATCGGTTTTCAGAAATTTTTGACAATTAGTGAATTTTTTTATGATTTTGGGATTTTAGGAATTTTTTTCACGGTTGTGATATGATAGTCAGATTTTAGTATTTGATTTTTGTTATCATTGCATTTTTATTGGATTTTCGGAATTTTTTTTAACTATTGTGGAATTTCAGAAAATATTTATATTATTATTGCATGTTAAAAATTTTGTTTTAATAATTATTGAATGTTAAGTGAATTTAAAAATTGTATTTAGAATTATTTAACGATTACTGGATATTAATTTTAGCTGAACAATTATTTTAAGAACTGAGTGTCGTATGTAAAAAATTACTGGTATATTATATCATTTAGTATTATTTTTTAATACTAGAAATTTAGGATGAATTTTATCAAAAATGTGACAAGTATTTAATGTGAAAATACTTTACGTAAATGTGAAATTACTGTAAGTAAAAATATAGTAGACACTGACTAATAATATATTTCAACAATATTAATAATGAAATTAATTAATTTGTAACGCTCATTAATTTATTTACTGAAAAAATGATTAAGATTACAATTTCTCCTGTCATAAACAAATATTTTATAAAAATGAAGTTGAAGATAAAGAAATCATTATAAAGATCTCCTAACCTCATTATATTTATAGTAGAACACAGTTGCATAATAATCTCAAATCTATAACTTCAACCTCAAAAAATTAATGGATTACTATAAACTAAATTACATGAAATTTTCTCTAATGTCATATTATGGTACACCCAGTATAATATAAAAAAAGTAATTCATTCGTTAATTAATTAGTTTGCAAATCAAGTGTACAATAAAAGTGTCATAATTAAAATTATGAAAGATTTATAAAGTTTAATTGTTTCGTTTTATTTCATCAAGACAGGGATTATATCGGATTTGCAACATTGCCCGAGCAAGTACATAGAAAATCGGTTAAAAGAGGATTTGAATTCACTTTGATGGTGTTAGGAGAGACCGGTCTTGGGAAGTCCACGTTGATAAACAGCCTTTTTCTCGGTGACCTTTACAAAGATCGGCGAATTCCCGATGCAGCTGGTTGGTAATATCAACGTACTTTTATATACACACATACACACATAACTGTATAATCCATTGGGTTGGCCATAAGGTTTTGTCGTTTTTTAGAAACATATTCAATTACAGACTTCACACGTGCGACATATTGACTGTTTTTATAACATATACGGAACTATCCATCATAAAAAAATTTACATAATAAAATCAGCACATTTGTTAAAATAATTGTTTTAAATTGATTAAAGTACTGAATTGATACAAGTACTGTTTTAATTCATTAAGTTTTAAATATTGTTCCAGTTAAAGTAATTATTGAAAAAAGGTATTAGAATGTTTTCTTGAATAATACGAAGCGCATACATCCTCACTGCGCATGCGCATAGTACGTACAGCGCATGCGCAGGATGTGCATCTCATATCCTTCTACAATGTTGCTACTTTTCTTCGTAACAAATACCTGTGCTACTTCTCCACAACTTTTATCTTTCCCTCTGCAATAAACTACAAATTGTTTCTTATCAAAACTGCTGTTCTATCCTTTCCTTACATATTAAATTAATTGTTTGCATTTCGAAATGTATTTCGAAGATTGATATGAGATTGTAACCTTATATCAAAGTAAAACTACATTCCAGGCGTTTGTATACAAAACCTATCCTGCAGTTCTAATTATTACTTGTCAAAAATATACCAATGTATATTAACTAAAATGTAAAAATACATATTATTTAAAATGATTTGTTCTACTGAATATTATAGCAAAGGAAGTTATATTTTACATCTTTCTGTAAAATGAGTAAACTCTTAAAAACAATAAACACAGGAATAGTGTCGGAATATTAATATGCACCTGTTTAACATAAACGAAATAACTTTTTGGACAACCCAAGTGCAACAATGTAGCGGGCTCATCTTCGTGGTCGTTTCTTTTTAGAACGCATCGAGAAAACGACGACAATAGAGAAGAAAACAATGGACATCGAAGAACGTGGAGTTAGGTTACGTTTGACGATTGTTGACACACCTGGTACGATTTTAATTTTGACTTTGTGATACTGGGGCAAGTTGATACATTATGCAATTTTGATCTTTTTTCATTTTTATTTTAATTAAGATAAAAGTATTAGCTGTTATATTTTGATTATATAAACTGTTATATTTTTATTAACCAACAGCTTATTTGTTTATTCTGTTTATCTTTTTATTACTTTTTTAATGACGAGTTTTTTTATTGTAAACAGCAATAAAAATAAAAATTACGCAAGCTTTATCAACTTTATCAAACTTTATTAATTTCTTTATCGACTTTTTTCAATAAAATTTTTAATTTGAGAAAATAAGAAAAGAATCAAAGTAAAAATAATTTTGTAAAAATATTCCAGGAACTTATCAACATATTCCGTGAGTTTTAGTAAGAATATGCAACTCCCATGTCAGATCGAAAAAAATTCGCGCAATTTAACGGATTTCTGTCACTAAAAGGGTCTCTATTTAGGATTTGGGGATGCTGTGAATTGCGAGGATACTTGGAAAGCATGCTCGGCATACATCGACGAACAATTTCGGCAATATTTCACGGACGAAAGTGGTTTGAACAGAAAGAACATTCAGGACAACCGAGTACACTGTTGCCTGTACTTTATACCGCCTTATGGACACGGGTACAATATATTTGTTTGCGTATACTGTGAGATCGGTATAAGTTGCGTTAAATGTAAATTGGAAAACTTTTTTGAGATTGTAAATGTATTTGACAAATACGTAAATTTGAATAAGTGGAAATTTTACATTTTAATTTTTTATTTTAATTATTAAAATTTTAATGACTTGTACATATATTTTATAATTTTAATAACTTGGATATCTTATAATTTTAATATTTTAATAATTTGCATATCTTATCATTTTAATAACTTGAATATCTTATCATTTTAATAATTTGAATATCTTATAATTCTAATAACTTGAATATCTCATAATTGTAATAATTTGAATATCTTATAATTTTAATAACTTGAATATCTTATGATTTGAATAATTTGAATATCTTATAATTTTAATAACTTGAATATCTTATAATTTTAATAATTTGAATATGTTCTAATTTTAATACTTTGAATATCTTACAATTTTAAAAACTTGAAATTAATTTTATTGAATTAAAACAATTTGAAAATTTATAAATGTGGAATGCTAGAAATCTTAAAATGTAAATTGAAAATTTGACTAATCACCTTGCCCCGATCTCTCCTATACTTATTCTCGTAGCTTTCCTCTGTCATAATCATCGTTTTTCAACAGACTCAGACAAATCGACTTGGAGGTGCTGAAACGGTTACATCGTAAAGTGAACGTTGTCCCCGTAATCGCGAAGGCGGATACGCTGACCACATACGAGGTGAAAAAGTTGAAGGAGAGAATTCTGGCCGACATCGAGGAGCACGAAATTCAGGTATCGTCTGCCGTTTCTTTCGATTGTTTTTCGACTTTTTTATCAAGTTGAATGAAATCAAGAAAGGCTGCGTGTAAGGGTGAGTGAATGAAAGGACACAAGATACTTTGTATGTAGATATATCAGTTTCCGGACTGCGACAGCGACGAGGACGAAGAATTTAAGCAACAAGACAAAGAACTTAAGGCTTGCATCCCTTTTGCTGTGGTTGGCAGTTCGACGGTGCTTGAAGTGGCGGGAAAAAAGGTGCGAGGTCGTCAGTATCCTTGGGGAGTTGTAGAAGGTAATTTTATTGTTTCAACATTTATACAAAAAATGTTTTGTTAATTATCTATATAGAATAGAGGACACAGTGACCTTCAGATATTTTGTCAAGGATAATATTCTCAACAACTTTTATTGATACAACCTTTAGGTGTCTTCAGTTTTTGAGTTAGATATGAAAGTATTTTTGGTACTACACAGGGTGATCCAAACAACTGTCATTTTCTTTTTTGATTGATGTAAGAAAAATGTTGGAGGAAAAAGATGAACGTTCAAGGTAATATACGTACTGACAACTGTGAGTTATACTAGTTTATAATAGTTTATATTATTTTGTACTATTTTATACTGTTTTATTTTATAGGTTTACACAGAAGTTCAAAATTGTTTACAGCTTGTAACCAGAACTTAAGTATACCATTTTCCTATTTTTAAAATACCATCAAATAATAATATACGCTTCATGAAATGATCAGAAAGTAATTCTTACGTGTTCTTATTTAATTACTGGGTTTATTAAGTATCACTATTAATATGCATTTACTTTCTTAGTTATTGCTAAATGCAAATCTGTCTCAGGTCATCACTGGTGTTAAAAATACTTTCAAGTGTAATTGAAAAAGTGAGGTTATGTTAGCAGAAGTCCTCTGTGCTAAATAGATAATTATCAATGATTGTATATATGTGAATACATATGTGAATATGATCGTGTACATTGAGTTTATTAATGTTTGACTTTCGATCGAGTACAGTGGAGAACCCGAAACACAGCGATTTCGTGAAATTAAGGACAATGCTGATATCCACGCACATGCAAGATCTAAAAGATGTGACGCAGGATGTACATTATGAGAATTTCCGGGCACAATGCATTTCACAAATTTCACAGCAAGCGATTCGGGAACGGAGGTATTTACGCATGTAAATAAGTATTGCATTTCAGTAGGTATATTTCTCTCTAGATGTATATAACTCTATGTACAATATTTCCTGTTTTTTCTCCACTCTTCTTTTGCGTTTTACTTTTCTTCTTACTTGACCAGTATCGTTCTAGCATTGGCCAAACGGGGGCACTTGCTCCGCGTTTGAAGTTTATGACAGCACTCAAAATCAAGTTTTGAAATTTTCAGATTTATACAGTTTTTATTTGAGGAATTTAGGAGTTTGAAATTTAAAGATTCAAGAATTATTAAACTTAAAATATTTTGTATTTAAAAATATTTAAATTTTGTCATTTTTATATATAGAAATTTTATGATCATGAAGTCGTAAGTTCTGAAGTTTAGAAATTTCAAAATTGTAAATTCTTGAATTTAGAAATTTTTAAATCACAAACTCCTAAATTTCAAATTTTCACATTTACAAATTTTAAAATGACACATTCTAGAATTTAAAAAGTTGCACATTTAGATACTTCAAACTCACAAATTCTTCAATTTAGAGATTTTTAAATTTTTAAATTGCAAGTTTCTAATTTGAAATCTCAGCAATTTTCAAAATCGCATATTTTCAAATCTAGAAACTTTATTAATCCTCCACGTTTTGATCTACCCTATAATTTTAATAACCGAACTTTATCCAACGAGAGTAACTAACATATCAGTGTATTAATATAAATAAAATTTTGTTTCGTTTCATTCGCAGTAAACTGAAGAGAGATTCGGGTCCACACTTTGAAAATAGTATATCGGACACGGACCGACTTCTCCTGCAAAAGGACGAGGAGGTAAGAAAAAGGTTATAAAAAATTACTAGATATGTCTCAAATCCTATCAAAAATTCTATCTTTACAGATACGAAGAATGCAGGATATTCTGGCACAAATGCAAGAAAAATTAAAAGCGACGGGTCAGGTTGGCCCTGGAAGTGGTCTCAGGGCAAGGGTTGGTAGCCTTGGAAACGATTTGGACGCCACCGACGTCGAAAAGAAACGCAACAGTATTATAGATGTTTGAGTCTTCGAATTACATGATAAATTAACACTAAACTACCACACTGGTCGATTGACCAGTCCACGAATTTATATTAAATTGAAAAATTTGTTAAGGTGCTTTTTAAGGAACTTGAGTCAATTTTTATCTAGGTAATGAATTTATGTTTTGTAGTTCGTTTTTCTGCTGTATTTAACAGTTTTATTATAGGTAAGTTTAGTGTTAAATTATCTCTACGTTAATACACGCGATTTAGCATAAGCGATCATTCTTGGTTCTACACGAATACGCACAAAAGCTGATGAACATGTTTTGAGACACTCAGAAACAAATATGGCTTCTCTTGGGAAAAATAGGGTGAGAGATGTATTGATCACTTATTTTACTTATTGATCACTTAGGGACTTTTAGAGATTAACTTTAGGGACTTTTAGGTTAGGGACTTTGTTGATTTATGGATGGAATGAGAATGAAAAATTATTGCATATTTTTATATTTACAAATCCTATTTTTGCTCTTTTTTATGAATCAAAATCTTTAATTTGTTATGTTGTCCAATTCTTAAATTTCCAAATTTCTAAATTTGCACTTTCAGAATTTCTATGTTTGCACTCTTTTTGTGTGACACTTTTAAGATTCCAAATATGCAAATTTTCCCCAGGAAGCCAAATTTGTCTATACACGTCATGTTCTGGAACACGAAGAGTTTTCTACACTCGTACACGTATAAGCGATTATTAGCTATAAGAATTTAGAACGAATTTGTTAGATGAACGATCATGTTTGCGGGCCAGTTTTCACTTTTATATGTATGTATAGTACTCGAGGGATCCTTTCATCGACAGTATTTGATATCGCCACAATTATTTCGGTAATCAAAAACTTGTACTGCGTATATACATATATATATAAAAGATACTGAGGCAGAAATAAACAGAACAGTATTATTTCACCAGAAAGTTCTTTCCTCGTTTATTTGAAGCGTCGTAAACGATGCTTTATAGAAATGTTGTGTTTTATAATTTCTATGACAATAAACGGATTTATGTAACAAACTTTTATTTTTCATTTATTAGTACGATGTAATTTAAGTAATTTGATGGTTTATGAAGAAATATAACCTCACGGAATAAATTGTTCGTTGGGACATAGGTATTCGTAATGATGGTAGGAATTCTGAGCTAACCTTAATGGCCTATGTACCTTCCACCGACCGGAAATGTACCACGTCCAACAACCGGAGATGGTCTTCAAGACGAATGGGTCAGCGTAAGTATTTTTCCGTTAACTTTTTACCTTTCGTTATCCACACTCGACGAACATAAATTAAACAAGATGTTGAAACAATCATTAAAACAAAAAGCGGTAGACGGCTTGAAAATCTTTATCTTATGACCCATGTCAAATTGCACATACAAGTAACAAGTAAAAACAAACGTACGCAGTATAAAACACGAAATATTCGATAACATAATCTGAGTAAAAGTTTTTGTATTAGGACCCGGCGAACTACGAATTCTCGTGCGAAATCGAAAACGCAATAGTGGAATTAAACTTTGGCCATCACGAATCACGGAAAAACTATAAAGCGACCGGAAGTTACCACGTGTTATTACCGGATAGCAAAATACTGATCGTTGATTATATTGCAGTTGGTTATCGACCGATGGTACAAAAGAATAGCAAGGTTTGAAAGGTCCTTTTGTCACTGAGGGCACCACCAACAACGAAGGATACAAATATTAACCTAAATTGCTTCGTTTTTAACTGGCTGCCGCTATTTTATTGTGAGTTTATTCATTTATCTAATTAGAAATAATAGTACTAACTGTTTGAAACTGTGAATGATAAATATAACAAGTATCATCAAAATGTTTGGTAAGATTTGTTAAAAATATTACCTAATCAAACTTTCTTCATGGATGATTTTTGTAAGGTTAGGAAAAGAAGTTATTTGGTGTATTTACATTTTACTTATTTTAAATCTGTAATAATTATATAAATAAAGTTTATAAGAATTTATAACATACAAAAACAATTGTGATATATACATATTTATCCTTTGATGATTTAAACTAAACAAATGTGCAAGTATCCTGGAAGAGGTTAGGAAGCAAAAAGTTCTTTTTGTTTTAATACCTTAAAGGTGAAATAAAAGAATATTGATTTCAATACAAAATTTAATTTGTGAAGTGCATCTATAGTCAGCAACAGAATAATATTATATTTAGGTTGCAATTGAAATGTTTCTGCTATTCGAGCTCAGTTTGTTGAACAAACTGAATTTAGACACAAAAGCGCAATTTCAATTTTTATATATTTTTAATACCTAATATAAATACATGTACATAATATAAATATGACTTTACAAACGGTTTTACAAATGATAAAAGTGAAATTACATTAAAAAATATCAATAACAAATATTGAATGTATACTTTTGATTTACAAAAACACTTTTATAGCATTAACAAATTATACCTGTAAATAAAAATTCTATAAAATGTTGTCTGTTGTTTCATTCAGTCTCTACAATTATTCTTTATGATGATTTGTACTTCTTGATATATTGCAAAACTTCTTCAACATTTTCTTTTGAACCCAGAAATAGTGGTGATCTCTGGTGAATATGCTCAGGCACAATATCTAAGATATCAATTTCTCCATTTGATGCCAAGCCACCAGCTTTTTGCAATATGTATGCCATTGGTATACATTCATACAAAAGTCGAAGCTAGAAATATTAAAAAAAGTATATATATTTCTAGGTTTTTAGAATTATTATTATTTAAAATTTGTAGCAATAAAACTAGTAAGATAAGAACTTCAAATACTTTTGGAATCAAATATTTTTTAGATGGTTGCATGTTATTCTAATTTAGAATGTTATATCTTGAATTTGGTATAAGATAGACAAAACTTTTCAGAAAGAAGTAACCATTACCATTCAGTAGGAAAAATGACCATTTTTCTATGACTTCTATATAAATGTAATGACACCTAGAAAGGTGTTAAGAAGATGTTATGAAGTCATAGAAAAATGAAAATCGTCATAGTAGTCAAGTTTTCCTTCAACAATTTTTTCCTAACCTATACCAAATTTTAAATATAACTTATCTTAGTGTAACTAGTGTAACAAAAACAAATAACTATGTAATAAGTAACAATATAATACATGCTAATCAAACAATAAATATTAGTTATTGGGATTCCCCAAGTTGTGTACACAATATATGTACACACCCTCGTTGACATAATCTTGACATGATCGCGGGAAACTATTTATACTCTCAATAACTTCATAAGAGGTCAGAAGACACCGATATCTACTGTGTTGATATAGCACAGCACATTGAGCAGTTTCCATCAACAAAACTAAATACAACTTCGCAAAAAATTCATAGAAATGTTTCAAATAACAACAGTATTCACCTTGCCGTTTGGGTGACTTTTGGTCGCCGGGTAAAGAAATATTCCTCCATATTTGATTGTCCTGTGCACGTCAGCCGCCATGGAGCCCACGTACCTCGCACTGTATGGTTTCCCATTAACAGGATACTTCTTTGAACGTGTATATTGTCTGATAGATTCGTCCCAAGCGCTTTCGTTGCCTTCGTTAATACTAAAACACATTGTTTTATTACAAATTATGAATGAATTTTATTTTTATTTGAACATTAATTATAATAAAAGCATTGAAGATTGTGGGGACGTATTACACCCAATTATTTATAATACCTGTAAATTTCTCCTCTGGATGGAACGCACATATCTTTGTCGGTCAAAATAAATTCCCCTATGGCCGGATCATAAGTGAAACCGTTCACACTTTGACCAATCGAGAGTACAATCATCGTAGCGGAACCGTAAAGAGCATAACCGGCTGCAACTAAATTTCTGCCAGGTTGAAGAACCACCGATTCCACGGAACCTGTCACATTGTCTGGTTTCTTGTAGATGCCGAAGATCGAACCGATCGATACCAAACAATCGATGTTGGAGGATCCGTCCAACGGATCGAAGCACACTATGTATTTTCCACGTTTCTCGGTTTCTACTTCGATGACGTTAGTGTTCTCTTCGCTCACGAGAAGATACGTTGTGTATGAGGACGTTAACATATTGATGAATAGTTCGTTACTCAGGACGTCCAACTTTTTTACCTCTTCACCTTGAACGTTCGACTTCCCGGCTATTCCATACCTACAAAAACAATTAAATTTATCTCGTAATTAAACTATAACTATTTTCTCTTGTAATAACCAGTTAAAGTGTGTTGTTTTCGTGCATAAGTTACGAATCTGCAGTGTCTTTCCGTTACTCGGTGTTTAATAAATATAATTTCGAAAGGAATTGAATTTTCAAAAGTAATTTTTTTTATGGTTTAAGTATGAACGTTAAAGTGCATTTGCGGAGAATGTTTGTGTACACCCTTATGAATGTAACGGTGTATATTTTCGTAGTGTTATGAGCATTTAAGTACGTTTACGTAATGTTTCTAGCGAGAGACCGGTCGTTCTAATTTTTTGGGATGTTTTTTAGTTTGCTTTAAGAATGTAATTAGGCAAAATGTAATTATGACGCGTGATAGAGCAGATCTTGAGAAAGTCGCGCAAGAAAATTATGACCTAGATTTCGTTTCCAATCGGTGAAATAAAATAGTTATGAAACACGAGATATTGCCGGTGATCGTTCAACGAGGATCACTCGCAATATATCGCAGTGCGATGTTAGCGAATGGCGGCGTTCAAGGTCACTGTTAATAGTCTGTGTCTTGCGGAACTATTTTGTTTTCTCGATTCAAGACAATACCCGTTCTGTAGCTTTCTTCGATAGCCGTCCGAGGAAGACCCGCATTATCGCGCGATATAATTAGATTTTGCTGCGGACTCTTAATTTCCATAATGAGCTAAAAATATCAGAAGAAATCGTCGCGAGACGAGTGTCTCGCATGATTTAAATATTTTTCAGACGTACTTAAATGTTTGTAATGTTACAAAAATATACATCGTTTTATTCGTTGAAGTCTGTGGAACCGCTTCATGCGAATAGAATTCGTATGACTTTTTATTAAAATTTTATTATGTTGTGTTTATTAAAATTTTATTATATTGCAGGTTTGTTAAAATTTTGTTATATTGCAGGTTTGTTAAAATTTTGTTATATTACATGTTTTTGAAAATTTTGTTATATTGCTTGTTTATTAAAATTTTGTTATATTGCATGTTTTTGAAAATTTTGTTATATTGCTTGCTTATTAAAATTTTGTTATATTGCATGTTTTTAAAAATTTTGTTATATTGCAGGTTTGTTAAAACTTTGTTATATTTCATGTTTTTTAAAATTTTGTTATATTGTATGTTTTTTAAAATTTTATTATATTGCATGTTTATTAAAATTTTGTTATATTGCATGTTTTAAAAAATATTGTTGTATTGTATGTTTTTTAAAATTTTGTTATATTGCATATTTTTAAAAAAATTTGTTATATTGCATATTTTAACAAGTGTTGTTATATTGCATATTTTTTAAAAATTTTGTTATATTGCATGTTTGTTAAAAACTTGTTATACTGTTATATCATTTATTAAAAATTTCTCTATGTTGTTTTTCAAAATTCCACCACATTATTTATTAAAAATTCTCTGTTATTTATTAAAATTTTCTACAAACATTCAAACCTAACAACTTAATTTTAAAGATGTAACATATAAACTATTTTAAATGTTTCTTTTTATAATACATAATATCAACAACCATTATTGCCATATATTGAGTGTAACACTTACATATTAGCAATTCCAGCTTTTCTCACCGCGGAACTAACCGCCTTAACAGCGGTTTGAATACTATTTAATAGTTGACTAAGATCTCCCGTGGCCGTCGGAAAGTGTCGTTGCTCCGCAAGCACGAATCTCGTCAAAGTCATGCAGTTTGAATCGAAAGAGTGGCTTTTCGACGCCATATTCACAACGGTCAGCTGCGGCTACTTGTTTCGAACGAGTTGCAAGCAGAAACTAGTGAGAGTTCGTTAGCGGCGCGTGCTATATAAAGACAAGTAACTTCTCGATACTGCTTTATCTTGCTAGTAAAAGCGGTAATCAGTATGCAATGTTTTGAACGTTCCTTTTTTGCTATTTGTTTCGGAACGATGTAGGATAATGCGTGCGTAACGAGAAACGAGTTTTACTTTTAATATTTTATGAGTGCTTTGCTGACTAGTGTATACGGTGCGTTTTTGTTTTGTTTGCGTTGGTGGAAAATGTTTGAACGTGTTTTATATTTTTTGGAGGTTATTATGGTGTTATATTTTACAGATTGTTATAATTGTATTTTAGAATTGAAGAATTTAGAAATTAAAAAATTTTGTAATCGTTAAATTTTTAAATTTGTTAATGTAAAACTTGGGAAATTTAGAAATATAATACTTTGAAAATGTACAATTTTAATAACTCAAAAAATCAAGCAGGTCAAATTTACAAATTTAATCAACTAGACATAAACAGAATATGTAGAAATGTTGATGCGTGTGTTGCAAGATTTTTTGTAAATATTTATGTTTTGATGATATCATATTTCGGCGATTTGTTCACGGGTTATCGACACGGGGAATATCCTCATTTAATCTTCACAGCGTGTCTTATTTTTTTTTTTATTTTGAAACACTGTCATTAAGAAATTTAGTAATTTGGAAATTTTACGGTTTATAAATTTGGTAATTTGAATATTGAAAGTTTTATTAATCTGATAAATTAATAAATTGGTAATTTAGTAATAAATAAATAAATAAATAAATAAATTAATAAATTGATAAGTAATAAATTAATAAATTGGTAATTTAGTAATTTAATAATTTACTCATTTGTAAATTCATAAACTTAATAATACAAAAATTAAAAATATTAATGTAAACAAACGTGGCAAAAATGTGTATTTATTGATTTCCCTTTACTAATTTCCCTCTTTACTGTTTAATGAATTTAAAATACGGTGAATTTATATAATTACCAACTGGTAATGGCCATTGTGATAAATATTTTGACTGATTGAGCCAATAGAATACTGCGCAGTTTTGTGAGTAGTTACTAGTCTGAAGGGTAGTTTTTCGTTGAACATTATGACGCGAGAGGTTAAAATAATATATAGATGTGACAAGCTAGGTTAGGACATATACTTAAATCGACGCTTTCGTTATTATTTAAACACTATTGTTTTGAGAGTGTCGCTTTACGGCGGTCAACTTTAACGCTAGATTTACGGAATCTGTCAAAATGACGGATCTCTTATTTTAAATGTCAAAACTTGTAAAGAAATTTTTGTAAAAATGTATGTCAATTTTCGTCAAGCTAAATGATTAATGTCTTAGGCAGTTTAATTATTTATCTATTTTAATTCAAATTTAAATACAAGTGACGTCCGTAAACCCAGTATTAAATATGTAACCCAACGTAACCTATCACATCTGCAGTGAATCGCAAAAGTATTTGCACACCATGTTAAACAGAATACCTCATTTAGAATTGGACCAAGTGACTTGAATTTTCTCGAGAAGAAATACAAATTAATTTTGTATAACATTTCCTGAAATTTAGAAGACTCAAAAATTGAAGAATCCGCAGCATGCCCATGGCAAAGCAAAAGAGATGATATGTCCATTCGATAAATTGTTCTTTCCGTGGATTGTCTTCGATGAATTCTCATTCGATGAATTGTCATTCGATAAACGGTTCGTAAACGCTGTGAATGGTACTGCTGGCGCCGTCTGGTATCAGGAGCGCAGAAAAGTAAAGGAGGTATGCGGAGTAAGAGTTATCCCGCGCAACTGACGCGCATGCGTACAAGCGTTGCGTCCCACAATATATACAATAATATTGTTATAGAAAAAAAGTTAATTACATACTTTCCAAATATAATTTATGTGCTCTTATGATTGAAGAATGATCAGCGATTCATTAGCTATTTACTCGTACTAAATTTGTCCAGATGTTTGTTAATAATAATTTTTTATTAATATTCTACTCGTAGTGTAATAATGATATAATAATTAAATTCATTTATCGATATGAAGAGTGAGGAAATTGAATTTCGTCAGCTATGCATGTGTTGCAAATAAAGTTTCGAATTCTATTTCTGGTATTAGAAGCGCAGAAAAATGAAAGAGGTATGCAGAGTAAAAGTTATTCCGCGCAGTCAACGCGCATGCGTAGTAGCTTCGTATTATTCCGTATGGATACTGTATACATATATATATAATTTATTATTTGGTTCCTGAGTACAATTTATACAGTTTTATGATTGAGGAGTGATCAGTGAATCATTAACTATATTTTCGAATCACATTTGTTCATATTATTAATGAATATAGTGTACTATTTATACAATTGCAGTGGAATATTAATAAGTAATTACTTTTAATAAAAATCCCAACAAATTTGATATTAGAAAGTAGTTAAAACATCACTGATCATTCTTCAGTTATAAAAGTGCGTACGTCACGTTCGGAAAATGTATAATTAACTTATTTTCTTTAATAATGTTATGGCATTTACTGTGGGACGCGAAGTTACTGCGCATGCGCGGCAGGTGCGCGGGATACCTTTTACTTCGGATGTTTTCTTTACTTTTCTGCGATCCTGATACCAGGAGTAACTTCAGAGCACCGTCCAGTGGATGGTACTAAAAGTACTATTCTCAGTAGTACTTGTTTCGAACTATTGTACTAAATATCAATTGTTTAGAACATTTTAACAGCGCTAATAGGACAGCAAAATTGATAAATACTAAAATTGTATTCGAAGTTTGGTAAAATTTTGGAAAACACTCATGTTCCGATATCGACTAAATTTTGCAAGTAAGATGTTTTTGCAAAAGCAGATATCTGTGAGAATGATTTCTGGCGAATCGAAAGATAATTTTTTGCCACTCTTATGCCATTCTTTACATGATCGACGAAATACAGTATAGTGTGCGAATTGTTTTGAACATATAATCCGCATTATCGGATCAATGGAGCGTATTGTAAACAGCTTAAAATCAATATTAATAAATATGTAATAAATATACAGCATATTAATCAATAAAACCAATATAAATTGAATTTTTAAGAAAATGGAACAAGTGGCGCCATCTCTCCGGCGGACAGGGTGAACTACACACTTTTGGAACTGTAGTTTAATTAGTTCCCATCTTCTACCGCTAGATGGCGGCATATAAGACATAAACCCTTATACTAATTAGGATTAGCCTAGAAATGATTAACAATTAATAATTGAGCGAGCGAAGCTCTTATACTTGACTTTGCAACTTCTTTGTCCGCGTTTTTCTTTTGCACCACTCAACCAATTCTCGTCAAATTTTGCATGCACGTATGTATGTACATCCAGATGAACATAGAAAACAAAAATTTAAATCGGACTTGCCACGAACGATTAATCACCGAAAAAACTGATCCTAAAAAGTGAGGGTCCGAACACGCA